ATTTGGGATAACAATACTGCCATAGTGAGAATGAGAGAAAACTTGTGTCCTCTGGAATACCAGCTCGAGCGTCCCCCTGGCTTGAAAGTCCCAACTCGACCATACCATTGTCTCGGCAGGAACTTGAGTAGGCCGCGTCACGCACTGTGATGTATTGAGTTAGAAAATCCGCATTCTGTATCATAATAAAATGAAATGTGAATGTAGCCAGACCAAATGTCGGGCCCTGTTTATGTCATTTTACCGTTCTTTCCAAAGCGGCATTTTTTCAGTATGTAACATCAATATAATCCTCAGAAGTTTGATATTGTTTTCTTTTTTTTTTTGTTCCCCATGTCCTGTAGCATCTATAACTGTTGACTTAATTCCTTACCTACTTGCCATGAACATAATTTATAAGCAGCGCAACACAAGAAACTTCGAAAACTACAGAGTGTGTTTGAGACCACATCATTTGTTGAGATATATTGCAACTTACTTGCGTAATTAATACAATATATATAATGATGTTTTTTTTTATGCATATAGATTAACTAACTTAGTTTCATAAAGAGTACAATTAAGGGGGACTTTCCACCTGGAGGACCTTTCAGCCAGGGGGACTTTGCAGCTGATTCCCATCCTCTGTCTCAGGTTGAGGCGCTGACTTAAGGTTAAATTGTGAGTGTAGTTCCTTGTTTGCACAGATAAGAGCGCCAATCAAAGATAAGAAGCCAGTGGAGACTTTAGGGCAAAGTAGTTTTATGGTGACTGTTTATTGAATAAAGGTGTAGAAGGGAGAGCATGGTGGATTTGATTGGTGGACACTGAACACTGGTGGTGGTGAAGAGGAGGAGATAAAGAGGCTGAGGTGGCTGATAGTTCTGCTGCTGCTCAGGACGAGTGTGGGAAGAAAAAGTGAAAATACATGAATGACTTGATTAGTTAAATTCACAGATGTTACTGCCCATAATGCACTGATAAAGATTCAATTATTTGTTTTCATCAAATCCAAGGGAATATATTTTAGTAGTTCCTAGACTTTTTTCACAACGGCCAGAAGCGCCGCAATGTAGGGTAAACGTTACTTCTGGTTAATGGTTTTCTGTGGCAAAATATGTGTGGAAATGTCTCGCGTATTTTCCAACAGCTTCATGAATTTGCCCCATCACCAAATCTTCATCCAACAAGGTCGACAAAGGAAATATTCTGTCCATGAAGAATTTATCCACAACTATCAAGGTAAGAAAGACAAAAACTAAAAGGCAAAAAACGATGAGCATTAGTGAACTACACCTGAGCAAAACTGACATTATAGTCATGAATAAAATATAAATAATAAGTCATTCGTAAGTAATAAGTAACTTGTTAAATCGGTGTTGTTACTCTCTGTAACTATTACAATTACTTATGTTTTATTCATGACTATAACATTAGTTTTGCTCAGGAGTAGTTCACTAATGCGTCGTCGTTGTTCACCTTTACGTTTTCGTCTTTCTTACCTTGATAGTTGTGGATAAATTCTTCGACCTTGTTGGGTGAAGATTTGGTGATGGGACAGATTTATGAAGCTGGTGGAAAATACGTCAGACATTTATAAAAATGCATTGACATACATAAGGTTTAACCTAAATTGGCTGTTGTGAAAAAGGTCTATTGTTGTACCTTTTTAGCCTAAAAGAGACTAAAATAAAAGCAAGTTTTCTTTTTCAATTTGGTTGTCTATTCTTCTAAAATTTGGGCTTGCATCTCTTCAAACCTGACTTTTATTTGGCCTGGCGGAGGTCCTCTTCCTGCTTGTTATTCCTTTGGCTATAATCTTCCACAGTGTAGCATCTTTGTTCCAAGGAGTCTGGTTTTAACTTTCTATTTCCATGTGCCACATGCAGAAAGTTGCATACTGTACCTTTAAATTCTTGTTGAATTTTAAAAAGGAAAGTTTGAGGACAGGGCGTGAAAACTGTGACCTCAAATGAATTAATGGCGTCATATTTGGCAAGAATGACAAGCCTCCTAGCTACAAAACATATACGAATCTTGTTTTTATACTGTTCTGCAAACTGTTTCTTACATCACAGTTGTTCTCATATCGCAGATTATTTTTCCCACAGACAGCTAACCTGAATCTGATGAGCGAGCATAAACAAAAAGCCACATCATCATTTTACCCAGTGCCCTAGTGTAGATTAATTTTATACTCTGCTCCTTACTGCCTTACCTTTTGTGTTTGAGTTGAGGTATTCTGTTGTTGACTTTGAGGAAATTGTAGTCTGTAACCTGTTTTATGATGAAGGAAGCATTTTAAATATTTTACGGGGTTGTTAGAAGGTCATTTCCTGGTACAAAAGACTGACAAGGCCAAGATATGAGATATTATCATGTAGAGAGCTGCGTTTTCTGCTTTTCTCACTGATGATGAATGAATGAAGAAGTACTGCAGTGTAATCCTTTGATTTTAGGGAATTAAGTCAGAAAATCACCAAATGAAAGATTAAGGAGGACCGAGACCAGGACTGAGACCTGGACCACACCTGGACTAGACTGGATCCAGACTGGGAAGGACTGAGACCGGGGTTGAGACCGGAACTGAGAACGGGACCAGACTGGGACTGAGACTGGGACTGAGACCGGGACTGAGACCGGGACTGAGACCGGGACTGAGACCGGGACTGAGACCAGGACTGAGACTGAGACTAAAACTGAGACCGATTTAGACCTGGTTCAGTCTTGGTTTAGTTCGTTTTTAGACCTGGTTTAGACCCCGGTTTAGTCCTGGTTCAATCCTGGATCAATCTTGGTTTAGACCTGGTTTAGTCCTGTTTTAGTCCTGGTTAAGTCTTGGTTCAGTCCTGGTTCAGTCCTGGTTCAGTTCAGTCCTGTTTAAGTCCTGTTTAAGTCCTGTTTTAGTCCTGGTTCAGTCCTGGGATCAGTCCTGGTTTAGACCTATTTTAGTCCTGGTTTTGTCCTGGTTTAGTCTTGGTTCAGTCTGTATGCGACGCAAGTCTGGCATCACAACTTAAGTCACCTAAACGGGAAACGGATGTTATCCGCTTTTTCCATTATTCATTTAAACACAAAATCTGTTATCCATTTTTCACTATAGAAACTGATGTACAACACCCCCAGCCTGATGTCAATGTAAAGTATCAATTACAACAAAAATCTGCATTTTAGCAACATTCATTTTAGCTTCCCCTGTCTGTTCTAAATATTATTGACCTCTAGAATTTTGTTGTCTTCTAAAATCTAGCAATATGACATCAACAATATCTGTAATAAATGAAATAGCTGTAAAAAAAAAAAAAAAAAAATAAAAAAACTAATAAAAAATTAAAGGAAACTGCAAGGCCACTGGAGTATATTTTCCAAATAGGCATGGCACAATATTGAAATTTGCTGTTTTGATTATTATGGCCAAAATAACATTAACAATTAACAATTATATCACGATAACGATGAAAGTTCCAGGCAGTTTAAAAATGTTATGGATATGAATAATTAGAAATTCAATATAATAATAATCATATCAAATAATAATAATATAGGTTCCATATTTAAACAGTTGTTATAATTATACCTTGTTGTAAGTGAAAACAACAATGAGAAGAGAACATCATGGAGAAGTGGCTTTTTTTTTTTTTGTACATTCTGGTGATAAAATGGTGATTTATTTTTATATTTACACAAAATGTCCCACGCATGATTACTGTGTACCCTTTTTATCACAATAAATGATATTATTGTATATTGTTTCATCCCTACTTCCAAACAAACATGGACAATACAGACATTTCTGCACTTTTTTGGTTTGTTTTACTGTCCATTCTCTTTGATTTTCAGTACCTCAAACCAAGATGTTTACAGGCAGATCTGAGCCTATTTAATGCAGTTCGTGTTTGACTGTTTTGTCCATGTGGCAGGCTGTTTGTCTAAACTAAAACCACTCACCGGTGCATTTGTAATCCGATCTGCTTTTTCTCCTATTTAGAATCCTTTTATGCACTCAACGCATTACCAGTCAAACAGGACAGCCGCAGTTACCCAAATAAATGCATTTAGTGGAGCTTTTTGCACACCTTGTAAATGAACTGTCACAGATCCTTCGCCGTCAGAGCACATCCCAGTAATGTGAGCCGTAGCGCTGCCCTACTTCAGTTCGGTGTTGGTTTGGTGAGAAATATTTCATCTTTCTGTGGGCTTTTGAAGCTACAGGAATCCTGGCTGAAAATAGACGCGTCTTTCGTATCTGTCATCATGAAGGGAAAGTGGCATAAAAATAGGTAGCTGAATATTTAAGGCGCTGTAGCTGATTTTTACGGTTTTAAAATTTTGAAAAACAGAAGTAGTTCGTTGTAAAAGGTTTGCAGTGGTCCAAAGTTATTCCTTACTTTATGCATTCAGAGTATCCTAATTATTTGCCTTTATGAGTAGAGCTATTCTATACAATATATTTCAAACTGATTCAATACGGTTCAATAAAAAATAAAGACTAAATCATGGCTGTAATACTAAAACCACTGCTTCTTGTGCATAGTTAATTTGAAACACACCCATTTTAGTCATCAAAACTGTGAAAATGTCAGATGTGTCACATGTTTTGCAACTGTTCCTTCGTCTAACAAACAACAAAACTGTAAAATATACTAAAAAATACAGCAGCCCACAATACTGATACTGTATCATCACATTAAACAATACAATATAAATGGATATTTCGATTTTTGTGCACCACTATTTAGCATGTAAGCGCTTGTCACAGCTCTCAGAGACCAACAACTAGCATTCTAACGTGCATGTCCTGATTATTGGACAGTAAAATGCTTTGTAAATAAGTAGCAGACAGTCCACAGTGCACTTATTTTGACCTGCTTATACAAGACATTTAAAATACTTGAAAAGCAGAAAGAGATTATCCTCAAATTCCTTTAAATACTGATAAAATGAAGGATGATTAAAAAATAATTGTTGGCCATCGACTGACCCCTTTTCTCTCTCTTTGTGTGTGTGTCTTCTGTTTACAGTGGTGTACGAGCACAGATCCAGGTTGGAAAAATCTCTTCAGAAGGAGAGGTTAGAACATAAAAAAGCCAAAGAAGGTAAGATATACTCATGAGCTAAGAACTTCACGTAATTGCCTTCATGTGCTATGGAGTAAGATTATCTTTGAAACTTGAAATGGTAAATACGAGTGTGTTTTGTTCAAGTTGTCGTAACAAAATGAAATACATCAAAAACACTAGGGATTCAGAGATAATGGTTTCAGATATCAGCGCAGAAATGTTAACATTTTCATGATATCTGTTATAAGATGATCAGGTCAGTCCATAACCCATTTTGGTCTATAAACTGGTCTATTTATCAGCCCAGAAATGTTGTAAAATTTGAACTTGTATTTTTTCCAAAGCTGTTTTGTAGTTACATTAAATGATAAATAACAGTTACAAAACACTTTTTTTTTTTTTTTAATCCTATGCTGTTTGTGCTTAAAGGTGCATTGTGTGACTTTTCTGGTGGAGATGTTATTGCTTTGTCTGGAATGTTTCACAGTATGGTATTAAACCCTTTTATCTTCATGGAGACCAAACCAGGCCAAGTTACAGATCAGATCTGTGGAGAGGCAACCCTGCTCACGAATGCCTGTTTTTGTAGGCATTTTTGAGCTCTACACCCACCTATAATTAAATAAATGTAAGGTAGAGCTGTTTAATGTCATACTGTGGAACAGTCAAGGCAGAGCAATAACATATCCACAGAAACAAGCAGGTGAGGGACCCCCAAAAGTTACATAATTCAGCTTTAAAGGAAATAAATAACACTTGCAGTCTCTTCTCTAGTCATTCGATATCCGATATCAATGATACTTAAAGCCAAATTCTATCAATATTGGTATCGAAACAGAAAAAGCTTGATCGGTGCATCCTTAAAAAATACTCTTGTTAAATATACAGGACTTCAGTTCACTGTACCAAGTGAATTAATGTGATGGAGTAGCCTCACCATTCTTTCACTGCTGTTTGCCATGGTGAGGGGTCAAAGGTTAGTTAGTTAGTTCAGCAACTTGGGCACTTTTCCCAGTTTTTCATTAAAAAAACATGAAGCGACATTCTAGTGGAAATTCCCACTCAGCAAGTAGTATTTATCTCTATTCTCATGGTACTTGAAAGCAGCATGTCCACATCTTATTTAATTCCTAATGCTCATTTTTATTTTTAGATTTTCTTGTGTACAAACTTGAAGCACAGCAGAGCATAAATAAGGAAAAGGTATGTTTTAATTTTAATATTCCTCACATTTGACACTGTCTTAATAAGATGATTTATACAGAACAATATATGGACCTTTTTCTTTTTCTTTCTAAACAGTCAGATGCCAACAGCAGATTAAACTCTTTACAAGTACAACACCAGATGTTAAAGGTATGGGCACATTTAATTTATAAACCTTTAAAGATGATTTCTACAATCTTTAAAATGTGAAAAAATTACCTAAATTTAAGTTAATATTAAACATATTCGTAGCTTCACCTATTGCATTCCGAGTATCCTACTGAAAACTGCTACTAAAAACTAAAAACTCGCCTGTTCAATTTGGCATTCCCCCATGATTTCCACAGTGCTTTTCTACAGTTTGTCCCCCCTGTTGCTTCTGTTTGTTTGTAAATGTCTTTGAGTGTCCAAAAAAGTATGAAAATACTTTCCACCCTAAGAGATGCTTTTACAATACATCTGTAGTGAGACAAGAATAATTTTACTTTATTACATAGAGATTTTTTTTAATAGCTCTTAACATATATATTTGGACCTTCACAGTATCTAAGTCAAAGCATATATGGTTTTTGTTTGTTTTTATTTATTTTTTTGACAGAATCAGCATGAGGACCTGAAGAAGCAGTACTACGACCTGCAGGAGAAGCACCAGTTGCAGGGGGAGGACCACAGCCGGCTCCTGGATGAACACAAAGACCGTTACGACAAACTGCACCAGGCCAGAGAGCAGGAGGTCTCACAGCTCAAAGGTAAAACCAGAGGCACGTCTGTGTACTTGACTTGTGGGCTTATTACTTGTGGAAATTGTAATAAAGTTAAGGTTAAAGGTCCTATATTACACAAAATTGATTATTGTGAGCTTTAAACCATGTTAGAATGCTATTACCTCATCAAAAACATACCTGGAGTTGTGCTTTGTTTCACTCACATACATTTTAGAGTAATCTTTTATTATTAGTCTGTCTATATCTCCAAAGCTCAAAATGCTCTCTGTTCCATCTTGTGATATCATGAAGTGGTAGTTTTCAAGTTAATATCTACCTTTTCATCATTCAGGTCAGTAAAGATGGGTAAGCCCAGAGCTGAAATCATTCAAGTGATTCTAGTGAAAGTGGATAGAGTTTAAAAACACAGTGGAGCACTTCTTGTATTACCTCATGACATCACAAGGTAGAACAGAGAACTAAACTCTGATGAAGACCAGTCATGGCTGAAATATGTTGACTTTGGCCATTTAAATAAAAGCGTTTTAACTATACTTTTCCTCGTGCGACTTTTACTTCTTTGGAGTACCTGGATTTCATTGTGTTTTCTGTTTGAGAGATGAACTCAGCCTAAATATAAAGGGTTTGAGTTTTAAAAATGTTAAACAAAACACAACTCCTGGTATGTTTTTGATGAAGAAACGTTATAACATACAGTAGATCAGAAAATAAGCACACAGTTTTCCTGGAATCAGAGCCCATTTTTGTTTTTGTCACAGTCTTTGTTAACGTCTGTGCCTGTATATTATCCTGAAGAGGTAACTACAATCCTCTGCTTCTGTGGAAAGTTCACATTTAATTACAATTGGCTGAATCCACCTGTGACTCAGAGCATTGTTGTTGTTGTTGTTTTGTTTGAGCGCAGAGCTGTGTTCAAGAGAATCACAATGTGGAGATTTCACCTAAATAAAAGGAATATTATTTATATCGCTGAAGTGACCAACCCTACTCAAAAATAAAATAATAATAATATTCTTTTATTGACTTTAAACATAGCCTCCATGATCAAATTCAAAGTGTGAAATCCTTTCTATTAAAGAGTTGGCCAAACAAAATAAATGGAAAATCTATCTTCCTATCTACTCTTTGCTAATGTGATGCACACACTCTTATCGACTTTTCCAGGCGCCTAACTTGCATCCATTTTTGGTGCTTTGTCTCCCTCTTGTGTCTTCATATAAAACTACATGCACCCATAGTATGACTGCATATGTGTAATGTCTTCTTTCAGAAAGTATGTATAACCTGAGAGAGGAGAATAAGCAGTTGAGAAAGGCCCACCATGACATCCACACACAGCTCCAGGATGCACAGGTAAGAAACTTGCAATTTAATTTCATAATTTTAATGATGTACTATTTTTTATTTTTTTATTTTATGCTTAAAACAAACAAAATATCTCCAGGTTCAACACAACAACTTGAAGGCAGCTCATGATCAGCTTGCACTGACTCTGGAGGACCACAAGAGTGCGCTGGCTGCAGCTCAGGTAGGGTCACAGCAGCTGAAAGCTTAGATAAAGTGAGGGGGTATTATGCAAAATCACCTTTATGAAGCGCTCTGCCATGTTTTAATGTTGTTTTCTCATCAAAATCTTGTCTTAAGAGGTTTTTGATGTCATACTTGACATGTTTGAGCATATAGTGATCTCTCCCAGTTAGCTGTAAGATTCTATGCAATGCTCAGTGCACAAGCCTACGTCACACAATTCTCCATAAATATACAAAAACAAGATACAAAACAAAACCCCATAACTTGTATCATAAGCAAAATGCAGTCTGAGTGTAATGTGACTCTGAAGGGGGAGTGGGGACTCAGAGCATCAAAAACTGAACTGAAACTTATTAATATGTTGTTTTCTGATAATTTAGCATTTTCCAAACAATAAAATGTAACATGGTAATATAAATATGTTATGCATTAGCAACTAATACCTCATGGAAGTTTATTAAAAAAAATCTGCTCAGGCATTTCACCAAGAGATGTATTGTTTTGTTCTAAAAAATGTTTGGGACAGTGGTGAGTAGGTGACTATTCAGCAGAGGTGGGACCAAGTTGTTGTTTTGCAAGTCTCAAGTTATTCTCAAGTCTTTGACCTCAAGTCCAAGTCAAGTCCAAGTCAAGTCCCAAGTCAAAGACAGGCAAGTCCAAGTCGAGACTCGAGTCACTGGCCCATAAGTCCAAGTCAAGTCCAAATCATCTGCTTAGAGCTTCAAGTAATTTCAAGTCTTTAAACCAAAAAAGTAACAAATATAGCTTAGATTTTTGCAATTTATATGAATTTTGAACTAAACTGTTCTTTAAAAAATCATAGTATATTTATAAATGAATATTTATGCAAGATTTTTAATTGTTATTTTATATAGCATAAAATTATTTTATTTTATATGGCAAAAACATATTTTATATGGCATAAAAAACAGTCAACACACAACACAATTACATAAATAAACATAAGGCCTAGACTTGGGGGGGACAAAAGGGGGTGATCCTGGGCCCCATGGTTTTAGGGGCCCAGAATTGCACCCTCTTCCTATTAGTTAATATTAGAAGGGGCCCATGTGTGATTTCTTGCCCTGGTCCCCCATAATTCTGTCAACGGGCCTGCCTATATGTTTATCTACTTACTACAGTTAATTGCTTTTTCTTTATATAAGATGCAATTATAATTATATTTGTTTCATATTATGTGAATTGTAATTGTCTGTCCTGTTTCCAATCAGGGCTATGGATCACGTATTGGTCAGTTGAATACTCACAAATGCAGTACCAAACACGTCTCCCCTCTCATTTGACAGGCTAAGGGGGTGGGGCTGGTTGTGGGCAGGGCTCTCACAGCAGAGTATCTAAAGCAGGGTAAGGCCAGTCACCCAGAACCCAGCGAGCACAGGCTGGGGTGACGGGGAATTCACAGTTTAAAAGAAGGGAGAGCAAAGAATGTTTAGAATGTAACCTTACGGCCTGGTCAGGAAATGTGTGTCAGGAGGGGATTATGGGTACGTAGGCATTCGCAAGTTGGTCTTTCATTTGAATTTAGAGCATCTTAAGTATGTTGGTAACCTGGTCTGGCACTAAGCAAAATATATAAGAGGCACTGTGACCTTTTTGCACTGTTGGGATTTGGATTTTAAGACATGTCAGAGTGATTTTTTTTTTTATTACATTTTATTTTACCTAAATACCTAATAGTGTTTTTTAATTACAAAGTATTTTAAAGTGAGAGTCAAATGTTGTAGTAGCTGAAATTGAATTACTAATATCACTTAAATTGTAATAGCAGTACTGCTTATCTTGAGTCACTATTTTTAGGACTTGAGACTTGATAAAATGGACTAAGACTTGGGACTTGACTCGGATTTGAGGCCTGTGACTTGAGAAGATTTGATGCTTCTCCTAAAAAAATATATGCTTTTAGAAAATACTTTTCTCTTTACAGTTGATAAATGTGGTGCTTCATTTTATAGGAACAAACGGGAACATGTCCCTCCCGCTTCTACTATTTGTTACTTTGGATGTAACTGAAATACTGTGATATGGTATCCTCAAGTGTACTACAGTAATATAGAGTACAATGCAGTATATACAGTATAACACAGTAAAACAGAGGGAACTACACAGAACATGATCCTTCATGACAACATGACTATTATTAAGCTCTTTTAAATCTTAATTCTTTCTGTTGACTGACTGTAATAATTTGCACTAAGATCTTGTCAAGACATTTAAAAAGGAAAAAAAATTGCTTATATAAATGCTCATATATAAATATACCATGACTTTTTAAGAATAATTTAGTTTGAAACTCATATAAATTGCAAAAATCTAAGCTATATTTGGTACGTTTTTGTTTTAAAGACTTGAAGCTCAAAGCAGACAACTTGGACTTGCCTGTCTTTGACCTGGGACTTGATTTGGACTTGAGGTCAAAGACATGAGACTTACTTAAGACTTGCAAAACACCGACTTGGTTCCACATCTTATACTGCCAAACACGCTCCATCTCTCCCAGTCATTAAAATGCTTTATGAATTAATTTGTGTTATAATGTTATCTAATTTAATTTTTACTTTTGATTTTATTTCAATTCATTTAATTTTATTTCCTTTTGTTTTATTTTACAACACCCTATACTGGAATAGAGCATCCAGTTAAATTGACATGAAGTGGTCTGTAAAATATCAAATCTCTCTTGTCTCCAGACAGTGATAATGTTTTCTGTGTCAGCTCCAAAGTATCTAATAAAACAGCAGTTATGCATTCAGCACTAAAATCTGAGGAAGAATTTCTACACACATGATTCAGATTCTTAATGGTCTAATTTGTAGGCCATCTGTTAGCCCACTGGTGGCGACACTTCCCAACCCTGTAACTGTAATGTAATGTTCCATAAGCTTTTATTATCCTTCCTGCAGGTCCAAGTGGATCACTACAAACAGCTGAGCCTCCTAAAACTGTCTGAAAATGCCCCGGCTCTGCCCCACCAAGCAGCTGCCGGTGCACCTGCCTCGCACGTGGAGCCTGACCCGCACAAACCGAGAGAGGAGGAGGAGAGGCAGCATCAAGTCCAGCCTGCGGAGGTGTCCAAGGTGAGGGACGGAGGCTAGTTTGACACAGTATGATAAGGATGCTTCAGTTACCGTATTTTTGGGACTATAAGGCGCACCTAAAATCCTTTAATTATCTCAAAAATTGACAGTGCGCCTTATAATCTGGTGCTGGTTGTGCTTATCGACCTGGAACCGATTTTATGTGGTACATAGCGCTCAAAAATCTGTCAAAGTGTTTTAGGATGACTTTGGTAAGCTACAAAGGCGCACCTCTTAATTTATTGTCAGAGCGTTACGGCTACTGTAGGCAGGAGCCTCACGGAGGAAACACATATTCCACTGAGTCATGTCCTTCAGTCCGAACTCAAGCTGACCATCAGAGCACAAGGAGCGAGCCATTTTTTCAGCTCTTATATTTTATGCAAACTAGCCATGTGATTTTAAGTTTTGTTTCTGTAAAATGTAAACAAGTGTGCGCAAAGCTGCATTAAATACATTATTACTCAGTGTATATTTGAGTCCTCCTCATAGGAAATAAAAAACAAACTTAAATTATCCAGCCACATTCACATTCATAATACACATTCACCAAAACAGAGAGGTAACGGCGGGCAAATTACACCACGATCTGCCGATGGATCGTGGACACCTGGGCTAAGGGATCGGTTTCAAGTGTTGTCTGTTTGTTTCACTTAATGCGCCTTATAATGCAGTGAGACTTATGTATGAAAATAGACGAGAGATAATTCAACATTACTGATATTGCTCCTTATAATCTTGTACGCTTTATAGTTCGAAAAATACGGTATATCCAATAATCCAACAATGTTCAGGAATACAGTAAGCAGAAACTTCACTTGCCTGACCAGTCCATTCTGTATTCTGTTCGATTGCAAAAGGGCCTGGAATGAGACCATAGAGAGTGAAAAACCCCTATTCAAACTTGAGACGGTCCAACCACAGCCGCTAATTTGTAGCACACGTCTCTCAAATGCAGAAGATATCGCCTTTCGAAAATTCTCATTCAGAACTTTTTTTAGCCTTGTAGAACATTCCTCATTTGCACCGAAAACTTGAATTGAATCCAACCTCTTGTCAAGTTATTAACCGCAACTAATTAGAAGGTATTATTTTAGAACAGCTGGTTACTAGAAATATCATCAGCTTGTCTCCATGGAGATGTTACTGCTTTGCCTATATTTTTCCACAGTATGGCATTAAACTTATCTAGTTTGCATTTATTTCATTACATATGCTAATAAATGGCCTGAAAATCACATATTCTTACTGTGACCTCTCCACAGACCTGACCTGTAACTTGAAACTGTTTAATGCCATACTGTGAAACATTCTGGGAAAAGCAATATATTTTTTCATATTAAGTAACGAGTAAGTAATGAGTTATGTTGAAATTGTACTCACCGTTATAATTCTTTTAGCTGGATCATCAAGAAGATGAGCCACACGCCCATGCCCCAGAGGCCTTGTCCCACCCCACTGAACCCCACCACGCACAGACTCTGACGGAGGAGAAGAAGGTGGAGGAGAAGGTGGATGCAGAGGAGGACCAGGAGGGGGAGGCAGAGAGGCGCAGGGAGCTGGCAGAGGAGCACATGGCCCAGGCCGGACAGCCCCAAAAACTGGAGGAGGACCAAGAGGAGGAGGAGGGGCCAGAGCAGGAGCTACCTGACGAGAACGCCATAGAACACCAGCAGTCACACAGGGTACAGATGTGGAATAAATAGTATTTTATGTTTATGTTACTATAACTGGAATGGGCAATGTGGTGGACGTGTCATGCCCATGAACAGAAACAACAGTATGCATTCATAATAGACTAGAGCTGGCTACTGTGCTCAGCTGGTGGGCAGATACTGAACCAAATGTCACCCCACTTTCTATTCATAATTTATTAGGCTATAGCTGTCCATGTTACACAAGTATTATTTTTCTTGGCAAGCAATGCTCCAGTCTGCTGATTTTGGATCAACAGACTTAAAATGTCGGTCGGCAAAACTTTTCCACACGTCATTACATTAAAAAAAACAAGTTGCGCTCATGTTTGAAAATTTGATGTAATAGTTTCAGATGGAGGTTTTTGAAATAAATAGTCAGACTTTACAGTTTACAAATGTAGACCTTATATCATGGCAAAAGGAGAAATTCAATTTGTCAAATAGACAAAAGTTATTTTGGTTGAATACGTTTCGCAGCTCAGCCAAGCTGCTTCTTCAGTTCTGGCCAGAATGCTGGAGGACACTGCCTTATATCTGTCTGAAGGGAGGAACTCACTACCCTGAAACCACTCTGAAACTAACCTATTTGTTTACAGTTTCATATTGGCATAACCATTCAGGACCATAATGTTTTCTTTCACACCTCTGTGCGTGGACTGGATAAGTTAACAAATTGAATTTCTCCTTTTGCCATGGATTCTACCTGGACGACTGTCAGTTTCATGGCTTAAAGTCCTTTCAACAGATAACAATCACATTGTAATGTAGCCAGTAAATTACTTGGGCCTAGGGCTAGTTAAAAGGTAAAATGAGGAACTGAAAGAAAGTTTAAGAAATGTTTATTGAAAATGTATGTGCAGATTGAAGTTACCTGTAAAAGAAAAGGGAAAAAGTAAAAGTGCATTTAAATTGAAGTAATTGTACTTACCCTCTGGTGTGGTTTGCCTCAGGTGCTCCGGCCAAAAGAGTCCCCAGGGAGCCAGAGCACCTTAAGAAGGTTCCGGGGCAGCCAACCATGTTGTTTGGAGGAGGGGAGCACAATTTTTTAACTGGTTCTATTTAGTATTTTAGGGCATTGAACACTGCTAATTTAAATAAAGATATAATTAATGTAATTGGATGTTGTTTGGGCACTGTTTTGATAGTTGTTTTTAGATATTAAATGTACAAATTATTGGTGCTTACCTGATCGTTAAAGTGGGCTCACCCAATTAGTACAGGGCCTTTAAAAGAAGCCAGCCTCACCTTGTTCAGGGAGAGGTGCTGTGTGAGCGCAGGTAACTGCTATGACTGTTTTTAACCTTTTTGGAATTTTTGTAAATAGTTTTTGTTTTGTCTTTAATAAATGCACTGGGATCTGCACTGTAAACTGGCTCAACTTGACTCTGTTCCTCCTAAAACCGCTAAGGTTGCCACCAGGCTATTACATTTGGTGTCGGAAGCTGGGGCCCATGCAACAGAGTAACTAAGGATGAGTACAAGAAGAAAAGTGCAGATTAACGAATATGTGGATCCTGACGAGGGGACAAGTGCACCTGCCGACCAAGGGGCTGGAGCAGCTTGCAAACCAGGGGACAAGCTTGAGGAGTTGACCGCGCTGGTGATGTCACTCGCACAGTCCCAGGCAGCCAGAGATCTGCATCTAGAAAAGGAGGCAGCACAGCAAGAAATGAAATGGAAATCCATGCAGCACCAGATGATGGAAATGCAGTCCTTGATGACTCGCGTCATCCAAGGACAAGACCAAGAGCAAGACATTGCTCCCCCTACAGACCAGAATGAAAACACTCAAGATGAAGGTCCCAGTGTCTGTGAGTACAACAGATTCTTCAGAGAGATGGTAGTTCACAGAGAGCCAAAGTTGTTTCCTCTCTCACCGGACGATGACATTGAACATTTTCTCACCACATTTGAAAGAATGGCTCAAGTCTGCAAATGGGCGCTCCGCCTAGTGTCTCTACTCACAGGCAAGGCCCGCAGTGCATATGTTCAAATGGACTTTGCTGATGCTGAGGATTATGAAAAGGTTAAAGGAGCAATATTGATAAAATATTAAATAACTTCAGAGACTTACCGTCAAAGATTCCGTTCCACAGAGATCCTTCCAGACGAAACCCCAAAGGAGCTGTATGTGCGACTGAAGGACCTGTTCTCAAAATGGGTCAAAACCCGAAAAATCTACAAAAAAAGGAAATATCAGAGACTTTGATTTTGGAACAATTTCTGAGAATGGTGCAACCGGAGCTCGAGGTGTGGATCCGTGAACATGACCCCAAGACAGCAGAGAAAGCAGCTGAGCTGGCAGAAGTCTTCCTAGCTGCACGGAAAGGACTCAACCAGACCACCTATGGACAGAACTCCTTCCATGGCCAAAAAGGTCAAGACCGAGAACATGGACACAGAGACCAAGCCCGAAGTAAGTCCAATGGGGGGTGAACGGGGTTTTGGTCAGAATAGGGTTTTGTCTAGACCTAGGCATTTTACACCTAGCCATGCTCAAAAGTCTAATCCTGGTAATGTCTCCCATAGGTCCAACAAAGAGGTCAGGTGTTACTTGTGTAATGGCCTAGGCCACACCCAATATTCTTGTCCTTTAGCTAATAAATCTAAGCCATCTCTTTACTGTGCAGTGCCTAGACCTGTGCCCAGCCATTTTGTAACAACTCAGAGCTCGTACCTCACCAGTCCTGATTAATGGTCACCGTACTATGGCACTATTAGATACGGGTGGGTTTCAGTCTGTGGTTTTGTCCAGCCTGGTGTCAAGGGAAAAATGGAATGAGGACAAAACTAGCATTAGCTGTATTCATGGGGATGAACACCAGTACCCCACAGCAGAAGTTTATTTGACAGTTGGGGGCCAGACATTTTTGATGCCAGTGGCTTTAGTGCCAAACTTGCCATTTGATGTGATTCTTGGTAACGATGTGCCAATTTTGCTGGATTTGGTGCAAGAATCAGAAAACTCACCGAAGAACCTAAACCGACCTGAATACTTACCTGAAAACCCTAGTCTACCTAAAAACTTACCTGGGAAAGCAGAACCAGCTAGAGCTTATAACATGGTTATTACCAGAGCTCAGCAGGCAAAAGAGTCCTTACAAGAGTTACCATTCTGGGGGGAGGATCTTGAACCTGTTAGGGAAAAACCGGTTAAATCCAAAGCACAAAAGAGACGTGAAAAGTTCAAAGTCACTGCTAGCAGGCAAACTGAAAAACCAACCAAACCTTCTCTCCAAATTGAGTTTGAACTCCCACCAGATGTAGCCAATCTCCAAAAGAATGATGTAAGCCTAAAACCCTGGTTTCAAAAAGTTACCGAAGTTGAAGGGGTTAAAAGGGGCAGTGCAGGATGTTTAGAGGAGGCAACATACATTGTTAAAGCGGGCATTTTGTATCAATGCAAGGGCACTGTTGAAGCCTTAGCATTACCCAAACCATTTAGAGCCAAAGTAATGGAGCTTGGTCATTCTGTGCCATGGGCGGGACACATGGCTTTCCAAAAAACTTTGTGCAGGATTGCAAGCAGATTTGTTTGGCCAGGCATGTACAATGACATTTCCAAATTTTGTAATTCATGTGAAATATGTCAACTTACCTCGTCCCGCAAAGCTCCTCGTGCTATGTTGCAGCCTCTACCCATCATTGAAACTCCATTTGACAGAATAGGAATGGACATAGTGGGGCCATTAGAACGCAGCAGTTCAGGGAACAAATACATTTTAGTTCTTTGTGATTATGCAACCAGGTACCCAGAAGCTTTCCCTTTGAAGACAATTAAAGCCAGAAATGTTGCTAACCTGTTTATTACAGCTATTTTCCAGGGTGGGAATTCCAAAAGAGGTTTTGACAGACTGTGGGACAAACTTTATGTCAAAGTTATTACAGCAGGTTTACAAGCTCCTGGGGATTAAGGGTATTAGGACCACCTCATACCACCCCCAGACGGACGGGCTAGTTGAGCGGTACAACCAGACTTTGAAAAATATGCTGCGTAAGTTTGTGTCTCACACAGGAGCAGACTGGGACCAGTGGTTGCCGTACCTGCTATTTGCATACCGTGAAGTGCCACAGGCCTCAACTGGGTTCTCGCCATTCGAGTTGCTCTATGGACGCCAAGTAAGGGGGCCACTCGACCTCCTCAAGGACTACTGGGAGAACCCAACCCCCGCTGAAGAGAACGTGGTGGCCTATGTGGTTAAAATGAGGCAGCGCCTGGAGGAAATGTCTGCCCTGGCACAAGAGACTTTGAGGACAGCTCAACAAAGCCAAAAGACCTGGTATGACCGGAAGGCCAGGGAAAGAAGCTTTGAACCGGGTCAAAAAGTACTACTTCTCCTCCCCACCTCTGAAAGCAAACTCCTCTCCAAATGGCACGGTCCATATGAAATAACCAGAAGACTGGGTAAGGTCACATATGAACTTTATATGCCCGACAGAGCCAAAAAGCACCAGACATTCCATGTGAACTTGTTAAAAGAATTTCAGTCCCGCCAGGAACCTGTCCCTCAGCTGTTGATTCGTGCAGTGCAGGATGACGAGACACCAGAGAAGTTCATGCCTGGAACCCTGGGTGAGTCTCAAATTATAGGCGCCTCACATCTATCTCCCAGCAGAGGCAAGTGGCTCCTCTCATTGACCCAGAGCTGTTCAGGGACTCACCTGGTTACACTGACCTGGTTCAGCACAACATCCGGCTGAAGAAAGAGGCTCCTCCACGTCAAAAGAGCTACAGGATTCCTGAGCGGTTGGTGCAATCTTTGAAAAAGGAAATTAAATTGATGATAGACCTGGGCATTATTGAGGTTTCGAACAGTGAGTGGTGCAGTCCAGTGGTTCTTGTGCCCAAGAAGGATGGCTCACTGAGATTTTGCATAGACTTTCGGTACCTGAATGCCATTTCATTGTGTGACCCTTACCCAATGCCTAGGATTGACGAGCTGGTTGAGCGAGTGGGGCAGGCCAAGTACATCACCACCCTAGACCTGAGCAAAGGATACTGGCAAGTGGCACTGGCTCCAGAGGTCCGTGAGCTGACAGCTTTTAAAACTCCTTTTGGTATGTACCAATTTCGAGTGATGCCATTCGGACTCCAGGGGGCGCCAGCGACCTTTCAAAGACTGGACTATGTTCTGAGAGAGGTTTCAGATTTCGCAGCTGCGTACTTGGATGACGTTGTCATCTACAGCTGAACCTGGGAGGAACACATGGCTCATCTTAAACAAGTTCTGCAGTGCATAAAGTCTGCTGGCCTAACCATCAACCCCCAAAAATGCTGTCTGGCTCAGAGAGAGGTGGAGTACCTGGGTTTTGTTATTGGACATGGCAAACTCAGGCCCCAGGTGGGAAAAATGGAGGCCATTCATTCTTTCCCCATTCCAGCCACCAAGAAAAAAGTGAAGAGCTTCCTTGGGCTCATTGGCTGGTACAGGAAATTTATTCCCCACTTCGCAGACCGCTCAGCTGTGCTTAATGACCTCACCAAAATGTCGGCACCACGGAAGGTGAAATGGACTGACCAGTGTGTGATTGCGCCTTCAAGGATCTAAAGGAGGCCCTGAACAATCACACAGTTCTACAGAACCCGGACTTCAATAGACCTTTCATTCTACAAACCGATGCATCTGGAGTGGGACTAGGTGGAGTTTTGCTGCAGGAGGTGGACGGAGAGAGGAGGCCAGTTTTGTTTTTGAGCAGGAAACTACTGGACAGAGAAACCAGGTATTCAACGGTGGAAAAAGAATGCTTGGCCATGAAGTGGGCAATCGAGTCACTGAGGTACTACCTGTTGGGGCGCCATTTCAGCCTGGAAACTGACCATCGCGCTCTTCAGTGGCTCCATAAAATGAAGGACGCTAATACAAGGATTGCGGGTTGGTACCTGGCCCTCCAACCATTTAACTTTACTGTCCATTACAAGCCTGGAAAATCTAATGTTGTAGCTGATTCCCTGTCTAGAGTGTATGAAGAAGAGGTACTGGACCCTTAAAAGAGGGGGGAGGAAATGTAATGTAGCCAGTCCATTACTTGGGCCTAGGGCTAGTTAAAAGGTAAAATGAGGAACTGAAACAAAGTTTAAGAAATGTTTATTGAAAATGTATGTGCAGATTGAAGTTACCTGTAAAAGAAAAGGGAAAAAGTAAAAGTGCATTTAAATTGAAGTAATTGTACTTACCCTCTGGTGTGGTTTGCCTCAGGTGCTCCGGCCAAAAGAGTCCCCGGGGAGCCAGAGCACCTTAAGAAGGTTCCGGGGCAATTGTTGTTTGGAGGAGGGGAGCACAATTTTTTAACTGGTTCTATTTAGTATTTTAGGGCATTGAACACTGCTAATTTAAATAAAGATATATACATTTTTGTAATTAATGTAATTGGATGTTGTTTGGGCACTGTTTTGATAGTTGTTTTTAGATATTAAATGTACAAATTATTGGTGCTTACCTGATCGTTAAAGTGGGCTCACCCAATTAGTACAGGGCCTTTAAAAGAAGCCAGCCTCACCTTGTTCAGGGAGAGGTGCTGTGTGAGCGCAGGTAACTGCTATGCCTGTTTTTAACCTTTTTGGAATTTTTGTAAATAGTTTTTGTTTTGTCTTTAATAAATGCACTGGGATCTGCACTGTAAACTGGCTCAACTTGACTCTGTTCCTCCTAAAACCGCTAAGGTTGCCACCAGGCTATTACACACATCTTTTGGACTGAAAAATGACACCACTTTCTGCTATTGAGAAAAGTAATTTCACTTCTGTTAATTTATATTGATAGAAAAGATATTGAATTGTAATTCCAGATAACCATTCTAAACAATCATATGACAAAACATATTAAAAGCATTGAAGCCCGTAAAAGTAAAGAGGAAAGATTCAGACTGTAGTTTGGATGCCTTCAGTATACTAGTATATAAAATCTCCAAGTAAGGCACAGTTAGCCCCCAGCCCGGAGACTGTGACTGCCTCTGATCTCCTCAAAAACACGGATCATGCCAGTTTTTGCTTAAGTGCATGGGCCCAATAATTACAGACTTAATCAACATACTGTAAATTAACCAGGTCAGTAAATCTGCAATCTTATCTAATTCCACCATGATATTCTGATTTATCCTCCAGCTCAATTTTAAATTGCAAGTGTTCTAGTTGCAGTTGTGATATCATTTGAACACAGCCTCTTCTTTTGTCTGTACCACCAGGAGTCTCAATCAGACCTTCACAAGGACGCCCAGCCTCTGCCCGGTGCCCAGGCCCCGGTGGAGCATGTCAAGTCTGCCTACGAACAGCAGCAGGAGCAGCAGCGTCTGGAGGCTCAGCGGGCCGAGCAGCACAGACAGATTCAGCTGAAACAGGAGCAAATGCTGGCGGAGCAAGGGCGCGTGATGAGGGAGAGGGAGCAGAGGCTGAGAGACGAGCAGGAGAGAGAGAATCAACAGCACCGCGAGGCAGATCGAAGAGAGCAGATACTCAGAGAGGAGCAGCACAGGTCAATACTAACATCAGTCACACGAATGGAAAATAATGTCACTGGAACTAGAGAGAGTATTTCTGTATTTCAGTGAATGAATCAGAGTTCATTCATAGAGCACATTGCAACACCACAGGGAAGATCAAATTGCTTTATTACAAGAAAGTGAGAGCATTACAAAACACAATAAAAGACAAATATAAATACTCATGTGAAGTAATGATAGCTCTTAAAACCTTGTGTCATAGTATTTATGTACCCATGTTAATATTTTTCACTTGAAATTGCCAAAAAAGAGTTACTGTTATTGTCACATTTAGTATAATGATCTTCCACCCAGCGTTTGTAAATGAAATATGCTCTATCAGTGTCCATAGTGCAGGTGTCTCCCACCTTTATCCTCCAGTGAGCTACCTTTATAAAACAAAAATGCCAGAGTGCTTTAGGGGCTGCAAGAAATTGAGATTATTATAAGAAAGAGAGCGAGTCTTTGGGAACAGTTAGATGCCTACAAAACATAAACCAGTGTCCATTTATTAGTGCACAAAGTTGGGCTTCAAAATTATACATTTACAATGGTAATCGGCATGTAATTAATCAAATTGTTGTTATTCAGTACAATGGTATAATTCCGAAATCCCTTGGCGAGCTACTTGGAAGGGGGTGGAAAAGTACAGGTTGCTCTCGAGCTACAGATTGGAGACTCCTGCCATAGTGTTTCTGTGTTGTTATTATGTTTATTTATATATACTTTTTGCTTTTTAAATGGTCTCTTATAATGTTGTTTCCTCATCACAAACATAGCTGGAGTTGTGTTTTATTTCATATTTAGAGATCTTGTCTCAAAACAGAAAATACTCTGTTCCACTTTGAGTTGTCATGTGGTAATACAGGAAGTGCTCCACTGTGTTTTTAAACTCCACACACCTTCAACTAGAATAATTTGGATGATTTCTGACCTGGAATTGCCAATCTCTACTGAACAAAAGGTAAACGGTTGCTGTAAACTTGAAAACAATCACTACATGACATCACAAGGTGGAATAGAGCATTTTGAGCTTTGAATGAAACAAAACACAACTCCAAGTATAATATCATTTTGTGTAATATAGGACCTTAAAGACTGAATTTATTCTATTTATTGACACTGATTGGAAGTACACTTTTTTATGCACTCTATTGTATAAAAGCTGCTTTGCAATGTGAATTTCTCCCCGTGAGATCTATGTGATAGTGAATATATTATATTAACAGTACAGTTTTAGGCTGCTATCTGAAACCAGGCATGAGGAGAAGGAGAAGAATAGACTCTAACATAAGCTTTGTCTGCGGTTTCAACAGGAAAAAGTCTGAGTATGAAAATCTGGACAATGACATAGTGCAGGGTGAAGTGGAGCATCGCAACAATGACGAAGAAGGTAAGAAACATAACAAGTGGGTTTGAAATATGCTAAAGAGTTATGCAAATGTGAATAAATTGTTTACACAGCTGCAAATCAAATATAATAAGCTCTTCTCAATGTATGTTTTCCAGAAGATGTCCATATGCTGCATGAAGATGAGGAGGGGCAAGAAAATGAAGACCACAGAGTCCCTTCACATCAACAGGTTTGGATATTTACTTTACTTTTCTTTCTTGCTCACAGTTAAGAGGCTTTTATTACTATTTACAGCAATAAAAACACCTTAAAGTAATTGAATAAATGCAAATAGGTAGGTTAATGCCAAGATGTGGAATTTTCTAAGCATTATAATAACGTATCGATAGAGAATCTGCACCAGAAAACGTGAACAGGTTTTGAGTTTGATGCATTACATTGTCGTGTCCTCCAGGTGGCAGTAGACGTGGAGCCCGACCCTGAAGATGACCCCAATAACCAGGGCGAGGATGAGTTTGAGGAGGCGGAGGATGAGAGGGTGCAGCACAGAGAGCCAGAGGAGGGGGTGGAGGAGGACGAGGAGGAGCCCGCCGCCCGATCCCAGCACAGAGACACTCACCCCGGGCACGAGCAGCCTGTGGTGGAGGAGGAGCTGGTGGTAAGTGACAGACGTGAGGGTAAAGAGAAAGTTGGATAAGACTGAAGTGTAATGTGTGTTTGTGTGTTTGTGTTTAGATGGCAGGAAACCCAGATCAACAAGAAGACACACTAGACGATCAGTATCAAGAGGAAGGAGAGGATGAGGTATACACGGAGTTTCAAAATCACTTTCTCTTTTTATATGTGGTCAAAATATAGGACTGCGTCACATGAATCATGACTAGTCACACATTAAAACAATCATTTATTATTGCTGAATCAAAAAACATAAGAAAAAAATAAACAAGTTACACTTACAATTTATAAGATTTCAGTCAGTATATTTTTACCTGTATCTGGTTAGTAAATAAAACTGTATGATGAAGTTCATAAAACGTCCAGATGAGAAAGAAAAAAAGTGTTTCTGCTAACTAAAAGCTGTTTGGTTAACAGTAAAACATCAGCTTTCAAACTGAGTTGATCCAGCAGCTATAGTCTTGACAGTTTTGGATATAAATAATTGGCTTGTCAACTAAATTGAAAAAAATAAAAATTAAAAGTCAAACAGATTAAAGGTGTAACTTTTCTGGTGGAGGGTCCATCAAATGCTTTTCTCAATGGAGATGTAATTGCTTTGTCTGAAATATTTCACAGTATGGCATTAAACATTTCTATCATCGTGGAGACCGAACCAGACTAAGTTACAGGTCAGATCTGTGGAGAGGCAACCCCTCTCACAGTCAAAATGCCTGTTTTTCTAGGTGTTTTTGAGCTGTAAATGTAAGATTGTGCTGTTTCATAACATTCCAGGCAGAGCAATGACATATTCATGGAAACAAGCAGGTGACAGACCCTTAACTGAAAAATTACACAGTGTATCTTTAAGTATTATTTTACATAACCTTAAAAAAGTCTAAATCATAACTTATTTTGTATCATCTTTATTTTTGTAGCATCTTAATAAAGTTTGATATTTATAGACTATAAAACACTTTTTCTACATGCAGCATTAGTATTACATTTTTCAGTAGTGATATTATGAATATTTGTCCAGCAGGGGCAGGAGGAGCTGGCCGATGGTGGAGCAAAGCGAGAAGAAGAGCCAGAGGAGGAAGGCGAAGACACATATAATGAGGACAACATAGAACAGGTTTGTAACTCGCTGTCTACTTCTCTAAAGCTCAAAATGCTCTGTTCCATCTTGTGATGTCATGTCACCATAGTTTTCAAGCTAACAGCTACCTGAGTATCCCAGGGCTAAAATTATCCAAATGATTCTAGCGAAGGTGTATGAAGTAGAGCCCTCCGTGGGAGTCGACGCAAAACTTTGCGGCGCGAGACACATTCTTAAAGCTCATTACGGCCGCGGGCAGAAGTGGGACTTCACAGTGCAGGAGTGGGCAGGTGGGATGATAAACTGCAGTACCGCAAACTAAATATAAGAGTAAAGTAAAATATACAAATGACTAATGCATGCCTCTCTTACATAATTTGTGCTAGATATTTTATTTAGCATTTATTTGACATTTTAAGCAGCCTAAATTTGTGGATGTGGTCTAATCTTGTGCACATTTTAGATAATTCCTTTCCACTTCTCCGTGTTTGATAGAGCTTAAGAAAGCGAATGTCCTCAATTTGTGGGATTTGCGGGTGGGAGTGGGACAAAATATCGCCGATGCGGTCGGAAGCGGGACTGAAAATTGTAATTCTTTGCGGGCGCGGGCGGGAGCGGGACTGAAAACTCTGTCCGGCAAAGACCTCTAGTACGAAGTTTAAAAACACAATGGAGCACTTCCTGTATTACCACATGACATGACAAGGTGGAACAGGGTGTTTTCTGTTTGAAAGAAGAACCCAGTCTAAATATTCAGAGTTTGTGTTTAAATTTGTGTGAATGAAATGAAACACTACTGTGGATGTGTTTTATAGATCAGAAAATAGCTTAATAGTGCACTATGTAAAGTTTTGGTTGGGTGTCCGTTACCTGCTTGTTTCTATGGATATGTCATTGGAATGTTCCACAGTATGACATTAAACAGCTCTACCTTACATTTATTCAATTACAGGTGGTTTTATAGCTCAAAGATACCTGGAAAAAACAAGCATTGTGAGTGTGAGTGGGGGCGCCTCTCCATAGATTTTGACCTGTAACTTGGTCTGGTTTGGTCTCCTTGAAGACAGAAAGGTTTAATGCCACACTGTGAAACATTCCAGACAAAGCAATAACATCTCCGTGAGGAAAAACATTCGACGGACCCTGCACCCTTAAGTAACCGTGTGTTATCATCAAACATCCTGGCTGCATCTGATTTAATAGCTTGACAACACTATAGCGGGTAGAGGAGCTTGTGCGTTCATATTACATGTTGTTATTATGTTCCATTTCACACCGTACTCATCACCTAATCAGTGTGAGTAACCTGAGCTCCACAGATCTTCTTCTTCTATCATCCACTTTCATTCATGACCTGAAACCTTACCTCTGTGAAGTTTACTGCGGCTTAGACAGCAATAAGCTCAAGGCCATTGCAGTAGCGGCCTATATACAGTATGACACACTGCACAATATGAGACTCACTGATTTTTAATGGTGCACCTGCTTGTCCCTACTCGCTGTTATTGCTACTGTTATTGCTATTCCAGTATGGTATTAAACATATCTATCTTGCATTTATTCAATTACAGGTGTTTTAAAGGTCTTATGTTACACTAAATGGATTCTTGTGAGCTTTAAGCCACGTTAGAATGTTGTTATCTCGTCAAAACATTTTCATAGTTGTGTTTTGTTTCATTCACACATGTTTGAGTAATTCTGTTTTATTAGTCTGTCTTGTTCTGTTCCACCTTGTGCTGTCATGATCTGGTGGTTTTCAAGCTACCTTTTACCTTTAGTTAGTTAGTTTTACTAGAGATAGGCAGTTAAAGGCCTTAAATGATCCAAATGATTCTAGTGAAGGAGTATGCAGTTTAAAAACACAATACAGCACTTCCTGTATTGCCACATGACATCACAAGGTGGAAGAGAGAGTGTTTGAGAGAAGAACTCAGCCTAAATATGCAGGATTTGTGTGTTAAACATGTGTGTGAATGAAACAAAACACAACTCCTGGTATGTTTGTGATGAAGAAACAGCATTATAACATAGATCAGAAAATAGCGTGATACGTACTTTAAATTGCATGGAGATAAGGTCAATGTCATACTGTGGAACATTCCAGGCAAACCAATACCTATCATCCATGGTGGCAAGCAGGTGGTGTGGGGGTAGAAATGTAAAAATGCACTGCAAAGTGAATAGTGTGTTTTCACTATTCTACTATCTGTACTGTTACTACTATTTACTGCTATACTAGTATTATAGTAAACCAACAGCACATGGAGTCTAAAAAAAATGACGATCATGGAGTGCTGCAGTGGATCACAATTTACACATACAGGTGCTCATCAGTAGCCAGGCTGGCGCACCCTAGTGTCTCCACTCAATTTAATTTCTCTCCAGTGACTAGGTCAGGAATCAGAATACACTAGACAGTTTGCAAGAACCCTGGAAGTGCGAGTTCAGGCACCAGCCAATCAGCAAAGAGCCATATATTCTGTCTTGGTAGCGATTCCTGAGATCGAGCATTTAAAGCTGGGACAAAGAGAATGTTTGGTGAATTTTATCAAGGGGAAAGACGTTATTCCCCTTCTTTCTATGGGATTTGGGAAAAGCTTAATATACCAGTTATCCCTGTTAGCGACGCATTACATATGTCACGATCAAATAGCAGCGATTGGCTAAACAAAAAAAGTACCCGCCTACCGTCGCGCGAACAAATCCTAATGTCAGACGGTTTCCATGAAGTGAAACCGGCTGATGAATCAGGCTAGGTAATGTGGGGGTATGTAACAAACAGGCTGGTTTGTTACCCCAGAACCACACTTAGCACCTTCACCTTCACAAAGCACTTTAAAACTGCACTTTCCTAGCACACAGCACTTTTAACATATTGCACATCAAAATAAATTGCACACAATTGGTTTAAAAAAATATTTATTGGCTTTCCTTAACCATTTTTTATTCCTGAGGCACAGCACTTTAATTGGAAGTTGCTTGTCCCTGGAGGAAAAGGGAGACAATAATAAATTACATTTAAATTGACTTTGTGCAATAAATATGGTGCAATATCTGTTTTAGAATGTTTTAAGTGTTGATGTGTTTAGTGTATTTATTGTGTTTTAATGAATGGTGGATCTGCTTTTACTTACCTCCCCTTTTTATCTTCTGTCCAGGTGTGAAAAGAGTCCCCCGGAAACGAGCTCCTCTTTTATGGTTCCGGGCTGGACCCGTGTAACATTTTGTACAGGGGTTTTAGGTTAAGGTATTTTATTGGTTTATGGGTTTTTAACATTTAATTGGTGTAATGGTTTTAGGGTTTTATGTATATAGTTGGTGGTTTTAATAGTTATCTGGGTTTTGGGTTGTTTATGGAGGTTTAGGTTTTTAATTTTACGCTAATGATAATTTTAACCATCCCTGTTTTAGCATAGTGGTTTTATCCAATCAGTAGGACCAGCATAAAAGGCGCCTTCAAGATCAGTCTGTGTTCTGCTGCTGGAGAGGAAACTGCTGCCTGCCTCCGTTTTGCACCCTGCACTTTTTGCACTTGCACTTTTGTAATCATTGAAAAAACAAAAGTAAACTGTGGACCACAAGTACCGGTCTGTGTCTGGATTTGTTTTTTACCTTGCTCACTGAACCCCAAGCCGCTCACGGTCAACCTACGTTACATTTGGTGTCAGGAGTGGTCCTATGCCGCAGTGAGAAGGTACGATGAATACCAGACAAGGTGGAAGAAAAATGCCTGAAGCCGATGAGGAACCTGGACGACAATGGCTGACCACCAGGGGCAAAGGCAAGTGGTGTGGAAGAGAAAATGGAGGAAGTTGGCTGGGATGATGAAGTACTAATTGATGCCAGACCATAAGAGACAAAACTGTCAACACGGAGCGGATCCAACAGGAGCAGCGCTGGCAAACCATGGAGATTCAGGTCCAGCGACTCCAGCAGCAGCTAATAAGGATGCAGCCAGAGCGATCTGCGCATCCACAGCGGGTTTCAAGGCCCGTTAAGTCACGCTAGAAATGCCAACAGAGAGGCGTACGAGGATGAAGAAGAGGAGGCCGCGTTTACCCTCACAGGCCATACCGGAGCCAAAGCTTCTTCCCCTGGCTCCTGACGATGACATTGAACATTTCCTGACCACGTTTGAAAGGATGGCTCAGGTTTGCGATGGCCAGAAGAAGAGTGGGCTGTTCGCCTGGTACCTCTGTTGACAGGCAAAGCCCGAAGTGCCTATGTTGCTATGGACATGAAAGACACAGAGGACTATGACAAGGTGAAGGAGGCCATCTTGTCCAAATATGAAATTACATCAGAGACCTACCGCCGTCGCTTCAGATCCCTGAAGATCGAGCCCGGTGAGACGCCACGGGAGCTGTATGTCCGCCTGAAGGAGCTGTTTCATGAGATGGATTCAGCCTGGAAAAATAACAATCCAACAAGTGTGTGAAAAGCTGATTCTGGAACAGTTTCTTGCGGATGGTCAGTCCCGAGCTGGAGATCTGGATTAAGGAGCACGACCTGCACCGCAGAGGAAGCTGCCGTCTGGCTGAGGTCTTTACATCTGCTCGGAAAGGGACCAGAACCAGCTACTTCGGCCGAGAACCTCACCAGCCATGCCAAGTAAGTCCTTTGGGGGTGATGGGTGTGGTCCAACCCAGGGTAGAAGTAGCAACAGTAGGCCAGCTCCACCTATCCACCAGTCTCGCACGGTGAGAAAGCCCGCTAGACCACCACAGGAAGTCAGGTGCTACAACTGTAACGAACTTGGTCAACTCAGTACTTTTGCCAGCGTTAAAACCAAGCAGTCCCTACTTTGTTCTGTACCTAGGCCGGCAAGCGTACAGACAGGGCAGAGAATAGGCACAACCCCAGTGCTTGTAAATGGCCACCGGGCGGAGGCATTGTTTAGACTCTGGATGTTTTCAGACAGTTGTTATGTCCTCCTTAGTTCCACCTGAGCGGCAGTCAGTTGAGCAAACTCCACTGGTGTGTATTCATGGAGATGAGCACAGTTACCCTACAGCAGAAGTCTATCTGACAGTTGGGGTTACCTGGTTACCGTCGCATTAGCCAAAAACTTACCTTTTACAGTCGTCCTTGGTAATGATATTCCCACTCTTCCTGATCTGATTATCCAGGCAGATAGTGGGTGCTCAGAGTCTGTTTTAGAACCCCCTGCACAGTGTACTCCGGAACCTGGCAAACCCTGTAATGTCCTCACCAGGGCACAGATAGCTAGGGGTGTTTTTGAGGAGCTGCCTTTTTGTGACGAGGAACTAGAAGCACATCCTGTCAAAGCCAAAAGCCTAAGGCCCAAAGAGAAGGGACAAGTTTGTTGGCTCTCAGAAAGGGAAAGAGGAGCTTCCTAAACCCCTTAGTCCTTTGGACGTCAGCATCCCCTCAGACATAGGGCACTGCAGAGAGAGGACTCTAACACTTAAACCCTGGTTTGACAAAGTCAAAGAGCAGGAGGGTGTCAAACAGGCAAAGGTAGCTGCTTAGATGAAGTAGCTATATTGTGAAAAATGGCATTCTTTACCAGATCAAGGACAAAATGAGGCACTAGTATTACCTGAAAAGTTGAGAGTGCAGGTAATGGAGCTGGGCCATGCAGTCCCATGGGCAGGCCACATGGCTTTTCAAAAGACCCTCAGACGGATTGGCAGCCGGTTTGCTTTGGCCGGGAATGTTTTCACAGGTCTCCAAATTTTGTAGTTCCTGTCAAATTTGCCAGTTACTTCAAGCAAGGGAGTAGCTCGGGCCCAGCTTCAGCCTCTGCAATTATTGGGACTCCATTTGAGAGAATGGGGATGGACATTGTAGGCCCCTGAGAAGAGCTCAGCAGGCAACCGTTACATTTTGGTCATTTCAGACTATGCCACACGTTACCCTGAAGCCTTCACTCAGATATTAAGGCTAAACAGATTGCTAAACTGTCTCTTGCGCTCTTCTCAAGGGTTGGGGTAGCAAAAGAAATACTTACTGACTGTGGTACCAATTTCCTTTCAAAGCTCTCCAGCAGGTCTACAGTTGCTAGGGGTGAAGGGAATTAGGACCACACCGTATCACCCCAAACGGACGGTTTGGTGGAGAGATACAATAAGACTCTGAAAACGATGCTGCGCAAGTTGTTTCTCTTCTACAGGCAAGGACTGGGACCAGTGGCTTCCGTACCTGCTCTTTGCATACGTGAGGTCCCACAAGCATCGACAGGCTTCTCACCTTTCGAGCTCTTGTATGGACGCCAGGTGAGGGGACCCCTGGACCTGCTCAAGGACCACTGGGAGCGCCGGGAGCCAGAAGGAGACAATGTAGTGGCCTACGTACTCAAAATGAGGGAGAGGCTTGAGGCAATGGCAGCACTGGCACAGGAAAACCTCAAAGCGGCACAAACTACACAGAAAACCTGGTATGACCAGAAGGCCAAGGACCGGACCTTTACACCAGGCCAAAAGGTACTTTTGCTTTTACCAACTAGTGAAAACAAACTACTGGCTAAGTTGGCATGGACCATATGAAATAACTAAAAAGTTGGAGATGTCACATATGAACTGTTTATGCCTGAGAGACTTAAAAAGCACCAAGTTTTTTCATGTTAATTTGCTGAAAGAGTTTATTTGTCCGCCAAGAACCTTCTCAGCAGCTTTTGGTGCGTGCCGTGAAGGATGAGGAAGTGACGGAAAAGTTTTTCCCATCCCTGCTTGCAGAGCCAGCTGCCATTGACCTGTCTCACCTCTCTCCCTCTCAGCAGACGAGTTAAGGCCGCTTCTTAACCCGGATCTTTTCCAGGAGACCCCCGTTTTACCTCACTGGTTCAACATCAGATCCGCCTCAAAAAGGATGCTCCAAAGAGACAAAGGAGCTACCGAATCCCAGAGCGGTTGGTGCCAGTGTTGAAAAAAGAAATTGAACTTATGTTAGAACTGGGAATCATGAAATGTCAGACAGTGAATGGTGTAGCCCTGTTTACTTGCAAAAAAGGATGGTTCTTTGCGTTTTTGTATTGATTTTAGGTACCTGAACGCAATCTCCAACTTTGACCCCTACCCGATGCCCCGCATCGATGAACTTCTGGAGCGTGTGGGGAGTGCAGCCTATATCACCACGCTGGATCTATCCCGGGCTATTGGCAGTTTGGCACTAGCATCAGAGGCGAGGAGCTGACAGCCTTTAAAACTCCCTTTGGACTGTACCAGTTCAGGGTGATGCCCTTTGGCTTGCAGGGGGCGCCAGCCACATTTCAGAGGCTGATGGACCATCTACTCCGTGATGTGTCTGAGTTTTCTGCAGCCTACCTGGATGACGTGGTGGTTTTACAGTCAGTCCTGGGAAGAGCATCTCCACCACCTCCAGGAGGTCCTGCAGAGGATTCAGACTGCTGGACTGACTGTGAACCCAAAAAAGTGTGCAGTGGCCCATAATGAAGTCGAGTACCTGGGGTACACTATTGGCTATGGCAAAATTAAGCCTCAAGTTCAAAAAAATGGAGGCTATCCAATCCTTCCCTGTGCCCACAACAAAAAGGAAGGTCAGGGGGTTCCTCGGCCTGGTGGGATGGTACAGGAAATTCATCCCTCAGTTTGCCGAGAGATCCACTGTCCTGAGTGACTTAACAAAAAACTCTGCCCCAAACAAAGTTCGCTGGACGGAGGCGTGCAACAGAGCCTTCATTGACCTGAAGGAGGCTATTTGCACCCGACCAGTCCTGCAAAGCCCTGATTTTGACCAGCCTTTCATCCTGCAAACAGATGCTTCTGGGGTGGGACTGGGAGCGGTCCTCCTCCAGGAGAAGGATGGAGAACGAAGGCCAGTGGTATTTCTGAGTCGTCGGCTGCTGGACCGGGAGACTCGATACTCGGCTGTAGAGAAGGAGTGTCTGGCGATGAAGTGGGCCATCGACTCTCTGCGATACTACCTGCTTGGGAGACACTTCGTGCTGGAGACAGATCACAGAGCACTGCAGTGGCTGGATCGCATGAGAGAGGCGAACACTCGGATCGCAGGATGGTACCTTTGCGCTACAGCCCTACAACTTCACCGTCCACTACAAACCAGGGAAGACCAACATCGTGGCTGATTGCCTATCAAGACTGGAAGAAGAGTAGCTTCGCTTTTCTGAGAGGAGGGGGGAAATGTAACAAACAGGCTGGTTTGTTACCCTAGAACCACACTTAGCACCTTCACCCTTCACTAAAGCACTTTAAAACACTGCACTTTCCTAGCACACAGCACTTTTAACATATTTGCACATCACAAAATAAATTGCACACAATTGGTTTAAAAAAAATATTTATTGGCTTTCCTTTAACCATTTTTTATTCCTGAGGCACAGCACTTTAATTGGAAGTTGCTTGTCCCTGGAGGAAAAGGGAGACAATAATAAATTACATTTTAAATTGACTTTGTGCAATAAATATGGTGCAATATCTGTTTTAGAATGTTTTAAGTGTTGATGTGTTTAGTGTATTTTATTGTGTTTTAATGAATGGTGGATCTGCTTTTACTTACCTCCCTTTTTATCTTCTGTCCAGGTGTGAAAAGAGTCCCCCGGAAACGAGCTCCCTCTTTTATGGTTCCGGGCTGGACCACGTGTAACATTTTGTACAGGGGTTTTAGGTTAGGTATTTTATTGGTTTATGGGTTTTAACATTTTAATTGGTGTAATGGTTTTAGGGTTTTATGTATATAGTTTGGTGGTTTTAATAGTTATCTGGGTTTTGGGTTGTTTTATGGAGGTTTAGGTTTTTAATTTTACGCTAATGATAATTTTAACCATCCCTGTTTTAGCATAGTGGTTTTATCCAATCAGTAGGACCAGCATAAAAGGCGCCTTCAAGATCAGTCTGTGTTCTGCTGCTGGAGAGGAAACTGCTGCCTGCCTCCGTTTTGCACCCTGCACTTTTTGCACTTGCACTTTTGTAATCATTGAAAAAACAAAAGTAAACTGTGGACCACAAGTACCGGTCTGTGTCTGGATTTGTTTTTACCTTGCTCACTGAACCCCAAGCCGCTCACGGTCAACCTACGTTACAGGGTAGAAATGTAAAAATCTACTCAAATGATGTCAGTTCAAAGTGAATACTGTGTTTTCATTATTCTACTATATACTCCTATACTAGTACTATAATAAGCCAACAGCACATGGACTCTAAAAAAATGATGATATTGGAGTGCTGCACTGGATCAAAACGTACGCATACAGGTGCTCATCAGACCAGAGGGCTTGAATTCTTGTTGAGTAGAAAGAGGATGTTAGAGGCACTCTGATTTGCGGTGTATTTATTCATCAGTATTACATTTGTTTATTAATAAATACACCGCAACTCAGAGTGTCTCTAACATCCTCTTTCATCAGCTCATGAACTCTGTTGAGCTTAAGGCTGTGTACCACAAGTGGCACCTGTGCTATAGTTTGAGAAGCACTGCTCTAATGTAATCTGTTTTTAGCTCATACTTTTTGTTAGCTGAAATTCTTGATTATTGTGGACATGAATTAGTCTTTGTGGACCCAGTTCCTATGTAAATGTAATCAGGTTCAACATTTGTGCTTTTTCTTATCTGTTCTGTTCTTATCTGTTTTTTCATTTTGATTTTGGAGACAAATAATGAAGAAAACTATTGTTTATTCATTTTCTTATTTTTGGTTTTATATTGAAAAACAAATGAACGAATTATACACAGATTTACAGTGCTCCAGTGCAAAATGGTTTGTTCCATCAACAATTAGTTAAATTCATCTATCACTCTTGGCTAAGCTCACAATACATATTAAATATATAAAAACACAAGATTTTTCCTAGACAAATGTACTAAAATTCATAGATAAATAGATTACAATTTATTCATAAGTACGATATATTTTCTGTTTATTTTAATACCCATTGAGAGCACATGCAAATCTCAAATCTTTGTCTTTTTTAGGATGAGGAGAAAAACCAAGAGGAACCCAGAAAGGAGCACGGCCACCCGAACAACGAGGAGGAGAACTACGAGGAGGAGGAAGAGGAGGTAGAAGAGGACAACGCTGGACGGGACAAGCCCAGACGAAGAGCTGAGATGTAGGACACTGGGAGGGCGTCTGTTGGACACGTGTGAGACAGTGGACAAGGACATCCCATTGTGCCTTTAAACGTACCACGCGCTGTCAGAGAAGCAGCCAATCACGAGAGTCACTGTGCCTTAAAGCAACACGTCTTTTCAAATCTTCAGTGAATATATTTTCTTACACTGACGAAATATTTTTAGTCATTTCAACTTTCAACGCAATTTTGGATAGAGGCCTGTCTGGATTTGAAAAGCGCACAAGCAGGCTGCGAATGTACTTTGGTTTTTTTGAGTTTTGTAAAAGAAAAAGTTAAATTATGTTATGTCCGAATGTTTGTCCGAATGTGTCAAAATGGCGGAGTCATTCCAATCAAGTCTTTGTTATTTATTTTTGATTGGTCAACACTGACAATCATAAAAAACACTAGTATTTTCTAGCCTTTTTTCTATTTCAGATTTTTGTATTCATAGTCAGAGAACACAAGGTCTAGTAGTAGCAGTTTACATGATTGCCAAACCTAAAGCAGTCTTCTGTAATTTTAGCCTACTGTACAATGTATAGTGAATATAATGCTGGTTGTTTGTACATTTCTATAGTTTATATGTTTTTTTATGTGTCTGGATGTTTGTTACTGGAACAAAATGTGGAATAAATACAAATGGTAAGAGTTATATGGAGTTAATCTATTCATCCATCCATCGGGTTTGGATTAAAGGGCCTGTACCTGGTTATTTTTCATGTATTTGAGCTAAATTTGTCTTGCCCTAGTACAGCTATTTTCTATAAGTATACAAAATAAGTCTTCTATGTACTGTCTACATCTAATTATCAGAGGTGGGGACTTGCAAGTCGTGACTTGGACTCGAGTCAGACTTGAGTCACTATTTTTAGGAATTGAGACTTGACTTGATAAAATGGAGGCCTGTGATTTGAGAAGACTTGGTGTTTCTCCTAAAACATGTTTTTAGGAAATACTTTTCTCTTTGATATGGTATCCTTAAATGTCTTACAGCAATATACAGTACAATGCAGTAAAACAGGGAACTACATAGAACATGATCCTTCCATTTCAGCGCAAACTACACGAGAAAATAACTAAATACTTATTTAGCACTTTTAAATCTGAATTCTTTCTATTCTGACCATAATGAAAAATAGAAAAAATTAAATCTCAGTTCCTTCTCTTCTGACTAATGATTCACACTAAGATCTTGACAAGACATTTAAAAAGGAAAAATTTGCATTTCTACAACTCTTATTTAAATATACCATGAGTTTTTAAGAACAAATTAGTTTAAATTTCATATAAATTGCAAAAATCTAAGCTATATTTGGTACTTTGATTTAAAGACTTGAAATGACCTGAAGCTCAAAGCAGACAACTTGGACTTGACTTGGACTTATGAGCCAGTGACTCGAGTATCGACTTGGACTCTCCTGTCTTTGACTTGGGACTTGACTCGGACTTGAGGTCAAAGACTTGAAACTTACTTGAGACTTGCGAAACAACGACTTGGTCCCACCTCTGCTAATTATACACAGGGTTCCCAAAACTATAATTCCAAACCATAAGGAGAGAGGAAAGGGTTAACATTTCATATTTAGCCGTAAAAGTCTGATCAATTCTACACATAGGTAGGTGCCGTAAAGTCAAGGAAAATTTACTTTAGGTCATGAAAAAGTCATGGAAATTTTTTTGTCAGTGAAAATGAGTGGGGACCCTGTATGAAAGTTTGTTTGATAATCAGGAAGTGCATGGTTAGCATGTTGGCAGACTCCATAAATAATTAGGGTGCTCAGAATACATAAGGCAGGTGAGGAATAGTGAGCCACTGCAAAGGTTTGAATCATGGCAGATTATTTTGACGGATTGTAAAGAATCTATCTGACAGGCAAAAAAATTAATGACGGGTGTGCCCCAGGGAAACGCTCTAGGCCCCACTCTATTTTTATTGTTCATGAATGACCTGTCCCAGTTGATCCAGGGCTCTGGCATGCACACCAGGTACATCGCAGCAGTTCTCTTTACTGATTGACAAAGTAAACGAAGATCTCTCCGACATTGTTCTGTGGGCGCAAAAATGGGGGATGAAGTTTAATTCCAGTAAAACCAAAGCAGTGATTCTTCTCCTCAATCCTCCACTTTGCAGCTGTCAATCAGATATGTCATGTGAAGTGGTGTCCCAAAGAAAACCACATAATGAAGGCATAAACATGAGGGATTCTTCAGGAGGCAGACATCAGATAAAATCAAACTTTATCAGTCTTGGTGAGGAGTTTATATGCTTTCTCCTTGCTGTTTCTCTTCAATGGGTGGGACTTCCTCACCCATTTCCTGCAGAATCAAGGAGAATAATCAAGGAGAAGGAGGCGAGGAAAAAGAAATGAGACGCAGCCAATGTTCATCTCCAAGACAGAATCTTCCAACATTTATGTTAGCCTCATGAACTGTACAAATGAGTTGGTCAGTGCACTTGGGACTATGGCTGACAGATGATATCAAAGTTTACAAGCAAGTGGAACATGCTTGCAAAAAGACAGCAACACAAATCTTCCTGCTTCAGAGACTAACAGTAAAGATCTATTTTTTGTACCTATATAAAATCACCTAGAAAAACTCCATTCATTTGTATGATTCTACAGTGTCCATATATGCAACCACTCAATGATAATGACTATTTAATGTTAAAGCTGACCTCGCTAAAGCTTTAATGTGCTGTGGATAGAAATTGCTGCACAAAGCACTGCCCTGAGCCCTCTGGCCAATGTGTCCAACTGTTAAACCCTCTCTTATCCCAACATGGAGTAAAACCTTCATCCAGCCTTGTATACAGCAATCCCACTAGTCGAGCTTTGGATCGTTCGCATTTTATATTCCTAAATACATTTTTAAATCATGTTCTGGAGATCTGGGATTGCTTTTCACTGAACTGTTTCCAAAGCTGTCTGTGGTGAATTGACAAAAAGAATATTTTGACATACGTTTTAATAGCTTACTTTTACAAATATTCTGACATCAATGCTTTCAGGCATGACAATTCTAGCCAGGCTGGCGCCACCTAGTGCTTCTTCTCAATTTCATTTCTCTCCAGCGACAAGGTCAGGAATCAGAATACACTAGATGGTTTAAAAGAACCCCAGAAGTGTGAGTTCGGGCACCAGCCAATCAGCGAAGAGACATACATTCTGTGTTGTCAACGATTCTCAAGATTGAGGATTTAAAGCCGGAACAAAGAGAATGTTTGGCGAATTTCATCAAGGGGAAAGACGTTATTGCCCTTCTTCCTACAGGATTTGGGAAAAGCTTAATATACCAGTTAGCCCTATTAGCGGTGCATTACAGACGTGACGACCAAATAGCAGCGATTGGTTAAATGAAAAAAAGTACCTGCCTACTTTCGAGCGAACGAATCCTAACACTGCAAGATTAGACTGTTTCTACAAAGTGAAACTGGCTGATGAATCAGACTACGACAATTCTTCACCAAGATGAAAAAAAATATAATTACTAGTTCAGATTTTTCACTTTTAAGTAAATAAAGTTAAAGCACCTTTAAATACCAAATGACAAAACACAACAAAAATCAAACTGACCACATATATTTGGGTTTTGACCTGAATATTCCATGCTTTTGCCAAAGTCCAAAGAATATTATTATTATCCTGAAACTTATTGGCTCCTGATGAGATGCCCCAGAAATATTGATGGATGGGTCAAATGCAGAGGACAAAAAAATGTATTCAGTTATTTTCATTACTAAACATACCTTGAAAAACATACATTCTCACTGTGAGCACGGTCACCTCTCTCAGTCACAGATCTGATTTGTAACTTGACTTCATGGTCCTACCTGCTTGTTTGCTTTGTTTAAAGGTGCACTATGTAACTTTTTGGTTGGTGTCCGTCACCTGCTTGTTTCTATGAATATCTCATTGCCTTGAATGTTCCACAGTATGACATTAAAACAGCTCTACCTTACATTATTTCAGTTACGAGTGGTTTTAGAGCTCAAAAAATGTGTAGGAAAACAGGTATTCTGACTGTGAGCGGGGTCGCCTTTCCACTGATCTCACCTGTAAGTTGGTCTCCATGAAGATAGAAAGGTTTAATGCCATACAGTGAAACATTCCAGACAAAGTAAGTAAGTAAGTTTTTATTTATATAGCGCTTTTACAGACATATGTCACAAAGATGCTTTACAGATCATTATTCATTCACTTCATACTCACAATCACATCTCCATGGAGACGGAGAAAAGCATTTGATGGACCCTCCACCGGAAAAGTTACACAATGCACCTTCCCGACAAGACAATCACATCTCCACGGAGACTCGCTAAGTGACAACCTCCACCAGAACTTTCCATAGTGCAACTTTAAGTGAATGTACATGGGAGTGACATTTTCTTGACTTGACAGTTTCCTGATAAATATTTAAGTCGTGCTCCTCTTTTCCTCACAGAACTGCTGAGGATGCAAAACCTGCCGTCTGATCATATAAAGGGAGTTAGCAGAGTTAAAGGGCTGTACTGCTCTAGCTCCTACTGCAAACCCTCTTCTGTCAAGGACGTTTGCCTATGAAAACAAATGCATGATAAATATACTATAAATATTCATTACTCTGTGTGTATTTGTGCCTGTGAGTGTTTACAAGTTTAGTTTAGAGGCGCTGTATCGGATTTTCACATCTAAAAAAACTCCAAAAACAGAACTAATTCATTTTAAACAGTTTGCAAAGGTTCAAAGTTATTCCTCATTTACCGTATGCATTCTGAGCATCTTAATTATTCACCACGATGAGTTTATAAGCGTTTTTCACAACTCGTACAGACCAGAGTTTTGCCATGGGGGTAAAGTGATGAACAACTAGCATGCTAACTCACACTTCCTAATAATTGGACAGTAAAACGCTTTCTAATTAGATGCAAACCGTACACAGCAGACTTATTATGATCTCGAAAGTTGCTTATACAATATATCTGTACTGGCACAAGGCAAATTTATGGGAAAAACATATGCAAAAAATCTTTAAACTCTTTTGTCATTTTGCCATTTTTTTAGGACTGAAATTTTACTTCCTTACTTTAATTTCATAACTTACCTAGCAACCATCCACTCCAACTCCACTAATGTAAACAGATTTTATGATTTGACAAATAAAAAGAAAAGAAAAGAGCTTTATTTTGTTCCTAAACAATTATGTTTAAAGTGTCAGAAAATATGTTTCTTGCCTCTAAATTGTGTCAAAATTTGTCAGCAATATGGAACTCTCTAAAACAGAACTCTTTCTCTTTCTGTCTCTCTCTCTCTCCCTCTCTTTCTCTCTATCTCTCCCTTTCTTTCTTTCTCACTTCCTATCTCTCTCCCTTTTTCTCTCTCTCTCTCTGTCTCCCCCCTCTCTCCCTCTCTCTTTCTATCTCTTTCTCTCTCCCCCTTTCTCTCTCACTCCCTCTCTCTCCCTCTTTCTCTCCCTCTCACTCCCTGTCCATCTTTCTCTCTCTCTCCCTTTCTTTCTGTCCCCCTCTCTCTTCCCCCTTCTCTTCCCTCCTCTCCCCTCTCTCTCTTTCTTTCTTTCTGTCTCCCTCTCTCTCCCCCTTTCTTTCTTACTCCCTCTCTCTCTGTCTCTCTCTCTCTGTCTCCCCCCTTCTCTCCTTCT